AGATAACGGAGGAGATGCTGAGCACTGACCTGATGCCCACCTACTACAGCCCCCGGGAGCTCCGGGCCTGCCTCAGGAACATGTCCCTGGAGAACCAGGTCTTCCTGGAGAACCACCTCTCCCAGGTCCTCAGCTACCCCTTCAGTGTGGAGCAACTGCAAGTGCTGAAGGACTACCTGGATGAGGTAATGCCAGCCCAAAGAATGGCAAATGTCACAGATGAGATTGCTCAGGGACTTGTCCAGTTAAACTTAGTACCTCCAAGGACTGGGGCTCCATCGTCTCTTGGGGCTCCTCTCCCAGTGTTTGACCACTTCACTGTGAAAATATCTATTTCTTAATATCTAACCAGAGTTTTCTTTGTTTGTTGGGCCTTGGCCTTCACTGTGCACCTCTGAGAGGAACGTGGCTCCACCCTCCCTACCATCTCCTATTAAATAGTTGAAGGCAGCAATAAAATCCTCACCTAATCTTCTCTTCTTCAGACTAAAAATCCGGGTCCCTCAGCCCCACTTTGTAGCCATAACAGTGGTGTTTCCACAGAGGTATCCTGATGGTTATCCCGAAAGCCTCCTCTCCAAGCTGGGTCCCCTCACCTCTCTCATCACCCCTGAGGAAATTTCCACATGGAAGATGAACTCAGCTGATGCCCTGGCTGCCTTCCTGAAAAGTCAGCCCCCAGATCTCCTGGTAGGGACTCGGCTTTGCTTTCCTACTGATGTTTCCTTCCTGGTTTGGGAGCTGCTGGTTTAGGATTAGGGCTTGAAGATGGTTGAACCATCCTTGGTCCCCCGGGGTTGGGTGGCCCATCCTTGAGGGCCAAACGGGCAGAGTTGAAACGATCCCGGTTTGTTTTTGCAATTATTGCATGTTCTCCTTTGGGGGGTGAAAACACGAATCCTGATTCGATCCCATTAATCAAATTAAATGTGTTTGCAGGCCTCAGCAGTGATCAAACGTTATGTTGAGCTGGGCAATGCCCTGAATGCCACTGCCCTGGATGCCATCGGGACCAGATACGTGTGCCTGCTGAACACCACGGAGGTGCAGGCCATAGAGCCCAGCAGCCTCAAGTGAGTCACAAACTGGGATGTTCTTGGCTTCTTGGAAAAGCACTTTTCCATCAGCAACTGCAATTTCCTTTTTTTTTTTTTTTTTGCTCTACACAGTGAAAGGAAATTTAGGAAGGAACTCAGTACCTGCTCTCTGTCCAGGTTTAACACCTGCTGGTCTCCATCCTGCTGGTCTCTGTCCTGCCAGGAAGGGCTCAGATTTGCAGTCAAACCCTCTTTATGGCAGCTCAGCTGGCAGCAGATTGCCCTGCTTTTATCTGGGGGCAAAAGATAATTAATTAAGTTTAATTTCATAAATCATTGAATCAGTTAGTTTGGAAAAGACCATTAAGATCATCAAGTCCAACCATCAACCAGGACCACCAGGTTCACCACTAAACCATGTCCTCAAGTGCCACACCTGTGCCACTTTCTTGGACATTTCCAGTTTAAATTCCTTTGAAAGACTGGTAAATGAAATTAATTAATTACAGCTTTGCAAACACAGAAACTTACTGTTCACCATCAGAACCTTCCTAACTTTGAAGACAAATCCTTCTGAGCAGGAAACTGAGCCATTATTTTCCCCTCTCAGCTTCTCTCCACACATCTTCTGTCTGCTGGGAAGAGGGGGTTACCTGTGCTGTGCAGAGAATCCCAGAGATACACTCAGGAGAGGTGAAAATTTATACAGGTTGAGGATAATAAAAGCTTTTTTCACCCTAAATCTTTGTTTTTCTGCAGACTGGTGTCTCTGAATCCTTCAGCCTGTTCACAACGGACCAAAGACCTCTTGTATGAGAAAGCCAAAGAAGCTTTCTATCCCCAGCAAGTCTTTCCTGCTTACTACGAGCTGATTTTACCTTATCTGGGTATGAACCAGTATGTTATGGGGGAAGAGGGGTCTCAGCCACGAGCTGAATGGGTATCAAAATCCATCAGAGTTCTGGGAATTTTCAAAGCCATGTTGTTCAAAGTTTGCCTTTCCAACCTGTAGGTGGCATAAAATACTGTTGAAAGATTCTGTACCTGACTTAAAGTTGCCCAAATCAATTGTCAGACTGTCACAGGGAAAATCAGACTCTCTCCCAGCCCTTCTCCATGGCACAAACCAGACTTTCTTTTTCCCTCTTAAGCTAAGAATTTATTCCCAGCCTGAGCAAACTCTTCCCACCCCTCTGTCTGTTGTCTGGCATTGCCACAGATTGGTTTAATTCCCAAAACATCAGTAAGTCCCAGAAAAAAGGAGTAGCATCCACATATTTTGCAGCTGGGACTCTGGTAGGAGCCCCATTCCTAATAAATTTTGAAGCCATCCTTGTAGCTCCAGCTTGTGCAGATACAAGCACAGCTCACTTGGGGGCTTCCATGCTCTGATATTCTTCTTCTCTTTGGTCCCAGAGGGGGCTCCTGGTGAAGATCTCAAGGCTCTGAGCCAGGCCAACGTGAACATGAACATGAACACTTTTGTGAGTTTAAGAAGAGATGCTTTGATGGTGAGTTGGAGTTGGACCTTGGAATTGTTGGATTCCTGGTGTTTGTGTTTTGCTGAGTAGTTGGGTTTGGTTGCCTTGTCCACTGATGGAAATCAGGAGTCATTCCATCAAACCCAGAATGATGCTGGACTGGTAGAAAGTGGAGAACTGGCCTGAAGCTTCTTATGAAGTCTCATTTGGAGTCCTAGATGGCAGCTGAGCCAGCTGAGTTCCTCCAGAGCAGGCTCATAGCACTGGTGACAGGAGCAGGGGACAGGTGTCCACTAGACCACGGTCACAGCTGTGTGACAGATCTTCTAACCACACTCTTGGCAGTAATGTCATCAATTTTGGGAGAAATCCCAGTGATTTGGGCAGGGACTGGGGCCCCCAGTTGAGTTGAGGAGACTTGTCATCAGAGGACAACAGAAATAGCCTTTGAGGAACCATCGTGTTCATTCCCCAACCCTGAGGGAAGATTGTCCTGAGGGGAACCATGACAGGAATTTGTCTTCCTTGCTCCTCCCACTTCTGCCAATAGGAACCTCACCATTTCCTTGGCCAGAGTTGTCATTTTCTTGGCCAGATGTGTAATTTCCATTCCTACATTTCCACCCCTAACTCCTGCTCTGGGATTCCTCCTAGAGCCTGACACCCCGTGAGGTTCAGGGCTTGCTGGGGATCAACCTCCCAGACCTGGCCAAGTGGCAGTACAGGTCTCCTGTCCGGGAGTGGATCCGGGTACAACAACAGTCCCAGCTGGACCAGCTGCACATTGGGCTCACGGGGGGAACACAGGAAGGCTACATCAACCTCGTCACTCCCAAATTCCCAGGTGAGTGTTTTCAGGACCTCTGAAGGCTGGGTTGGGTTTTAAATACTTGTTTTGGGGTTACAACAAAGAGAAAAACTGGGGCAGCAAGTTCAGCTCTGCTGAGGAGCCTGAAGCCCTGTAATCCCACTGGGAGCTTCCTCACTGGCTGAACATCCCAACCGAGTGAGCGCTCCCAGGGCCTCCTCCTCTGGGGTGTGTTGGATTTGGGCTTAGAATCATGGAATCACAGAATGGTTTGGGTAGGAAGGGACCTTCTAATTCCAAACCCCCAAACTTGACTCGGTGGGGCTGTGAGAAAAGCCAAGGTAATCCCTGGATGGGGCATGAGGAGATGTTTTCCCCACGGAGGAGCAGCTCAGTCGCTGGTTCCTTTGCACTAATGCCCCTCTTTGTCCTCCAGCACCATCCTCAGCCCCTCTGGGTGCCATGGCCATGGCACTGCACCTCCTGCCTGCCCTGCTCCTCACTTTCCTCATGATGTCCATCCTATCCTGACCATCTTCTCTCCAGAGGAAGCAAGACCAGGGGTTGGTTCCATCCTGTGACCTGCTCTGAGGCCTGTGGGCACCTCCAGCCTGGGGCTGAGGGGTGCCCAGAGCACCAGGCAACTGGGATCAGCCCAGGAATCACTTCTAGGTACTTTTGTCTTTCAAATCACTCGGAAAAACCCAGTTGTGTCTGAAGGGAAGATTCCAGACTCTTCAGAGCAGGACCTTTGCCTTTGGTAGAGCCCAAGTCCAGGTCAGCCCCAACCACAACACTGCAACCCAAACCACGTGCATGTTTTACTGGGGGGTTTAAGGTTAAAAATGACATTTCCCAGAGCCTGATCTCGTGACACTGCCAAGACCTCAGAGTGGAAGGGAAGTTTGCTGGCTGATTGTAAATAAATCATGGAATTAAGTAAAAAAAATGCTAAAGCAAAGTTGCTGTTGTCTGCTCTTCCTTCAGGCTGCCAAAATTGAGTGGGCAGAGCCCCCAGAGCTGCCTATTACTTTTCCTTGGTTGATTATTCAACACTTAAGAGCTGAGGGTGTTCACAGCTTCCTCAGGGGGAGGGGAAAAAACTTTATAGGTTTTAAACAATTTGTTCCCCCACTTATTGGGAATTTCTGTCCAAAAAATGCCTCAGTACAACCTGTATCCAGTCCCTGACAATCCCCTTTCCCCCAGGGAGGAGAGCCTGGAGGAGAAAGAGGGATATAGATATCTATATAAAATAATCTTTGCTGTCATTGCTTTACAGAATGAGAGCAGGAGAGCCTGGTCTGCCCTTCAGTGCAGACTTTAGGTCTAAGCTAGAAAAAGTGCAATACTAAGCACTAAACACCTCAAAGATTAGGAAAACACCAGTTGATTGATGGTTTATTGTATAGCATTGCACCAGTAATCAAGATAAATTATCTTCAGTGAATCATCCCATGAGAGTCTTCGTGGAGTTTGAACAGATCTGGATCAAAAAGCAGTTCATGAAATGAGTAAATGCAATTTTGGGGATCTCTCAGCTGCATTGCTGGGCCGTGTTCTGCTTCTTTTGCAGTGGCCAGTGACTCCAATCCCTGAGTTGTCCCACTGTTTCACAGATCCCAGTGGGATTCCTTAGAAGGAAAGCCCCTGGTAGAAGTGGGCCTGGTGTTATTGCCCTGTCAGAGCACTCAGCACTGCTGGTACTACATGGAGTAAACTGCTAGTAAGTACCCGTGGGGCTTCTTTGGGCTGAAAAATACCAGTTCTCCTTTCACTGCCCAGCCTCAAAAATAATAATCCCGTTCTGTGCTGGTATCAAACGGAGGAGTTCTCTTCCTTTCCCGGGTTTCTGCTTTTCCAGCGGGGAATTTCCCAGCACCGTTGTGTTGCAGGGTGGTGGTGATGAAGGAGGGATGGGGTGGGTGTGGTGCTGAGGGGGGGCTCAGAGCAGCCCCTGCAGCAGCAAGGTCCCCACGGTGACAGCCAGCACGTGGATGAGGCAGGAGGACAGTCTGGGTCCTGAATCTGGGGGGAGAACACAAATAATGGGATTATCCAGGTGCAGGGCCCGTGTGAGCTGAGAGGGCAGTGGAATTCAGGTATCCCAGGGGGTCCCATGTGTCAGGACAGCACTTCTCAGCCCCCTGGGACCTTGCCTGTACCTTCTCCTCAGACACTGGCCTGCCCCAGGTGTGACTGTCCCCAGGCTGAGCCTTCCTGACTCACCAGCACAAGGCAGGAGTGAATCCCCAGGGTCATTAAAGCTACAGGGGCAGCTCTGCCAGAGCAAAGGAGCTCAGACTTTAGTGCTTGCACTCAGGAACACCATGCCCAGCTAAAACAGGGAAGGCCAAGCCCAGGCAGAGAGCAGCCCAGGGATTAGCAGGAGTGGGATTCCTCCAGGATTTCTCCAGGATTATTCCAGCTTTCTGCAGTGCTGGGGGCTGGGGGGGCTCGGAGACACCTCCGGGTGCTCCTGGGCAGACCTGAGAGCTCGCAGGACCTGAGGCAGCTCCGGGGGCTGCACAGACACGTCACTGCCCGTGAAGCCAGGACTGAATCCAGCAGGAATGAGGTGGATCATCTCCTTACTGCTGAAGACCTCGGCCTCACCATCATTCCTAAGCCTTTCCTGACTCGGAACATTCCCACCTTACCAGGCTTGGGCTGCAGGTTGATGTGTCCGTTGGATGTTGGTCGTGGTGACTCCGGCACAGCTCCGGGGGTTGGTTTGGTGGCCTCACTGCTGGTGGTGGTGGAGGAAGGGCTGGGGAATCCCGGGGGGCCACTGGTCGGGCAGGGCACTGTGGTGGTCTCAGGCGTGGAGGAGATGATGCTCTTTTGGGTGGAGATGGTGGAGCTGGGAACTGGGGTGGGCTTGTGGGGAGGGGGGCTTGTGGCTGGGGCAGTGGGAGCAGAGGTGGAGAGAGGGACAGGGCGGGCAGAGCTGTGGGTGGCAGTGGGTGCAGAGGGGGAGTGAGGGACAGGGAGAGCAGTGGTGTGGATGGCAGTGGGAACAGAGGAGGGATTAGGGACAGGGGTGCTGGAAGCACTGTGGGTGCTGGGGATGACAGTGCTGTGGGTGGCAGTGGGAGCAGAGGTGGGATTAGGGACAGGGGTGGCAGTAGGTGCAGAGGTGGGATTAGGGACAGGGGTGGCAGTGGGAGCAGAGGTAGGATTAGGGACAGGGGTGCTGGCAGCACTGTGGGTGCCGGGGATGACAGTGCTGTGGGTGGCAGGAGCAGGGTGGGTGGTCCCCCCGGGTGCTGGGGTGTTCACGGGCACCAGAGGGGAGCTGGTGCTGTGGGTGGTACCAGCCGGGTCAGTGCCAACACTGGTGCTGGTGGTGGCCCTGGAGGTGACAGCAGGGACTGGGACAGAGCTGGGAGAGGTGGTGTTAGGGTTGACAGGGGCCAGGGTGGTGGGGAGGAGGGGGACAGGAGATGGGGTGGCCTTATTTGTGGTGGGAGACTGGTGGGTGGAGCACGGGGGGGCGATGGAGGTGGTCAGAGTGGGATGAGCAGTGGAGGTGGCAGTGGAAGTGGCAGGGGGACTCTCATTGGAGGGGGGACTGTTGTTTAGGGGGGTTGGGCTGAGAGCACTCGGGGTGGGGGTCTGGAGGGGGACTGTACTTGACTGGGTGGTCGGGGGGGTGGTAGTGGCAATAGGGGTGGGGACAGTGGGGAGGGTGGTGGGCACAGGGACAGTGCCAGTGGAGGTGGCACTGGCTGGAGTGGTGGGATGAGGAGGGGTGGAGACAGTGGGGAGGGTGATGGAAGTGGGGACAGTGGCTCTGGAGGTGACACTGGCTGGGGTAGTGGAGTAAGGAGGGGTCGGGACAGTGGCTGTGGGGGTGACAATATCTGGGGTGGTGGGGCAAGGACAGGTGGGGACAGTTGGGAGGGTGGTGGGCACAGGGCTGGTGGCTGTGGAGGTGACAGTGGCTGTGGTGGGGGGGGCAGCAGGTGTGGTTGTCCCCGTGGGGTCCTCCATCCCTCCCTGCAGGCCGATTCCCAGGACACGGTCCAGCTCCCTCTGGAACTGTCTCTCCACCCAGCCCATCACCAAGGGCTCGTTCTCAGCTTTCTTCAGCTCGGGGAGGTTTTCCCCGAGCAAATTTTTCACGTCCATGACACTGAGTTTCTGCAACACACACACAACACCCCCTTCGTTCATCCTCCCCGACGGCATCACTCCGAAATGCTTTTCTAGTGGGGCTGCAGAGCAAGGAAGAACTTCCAAAGGAAACTTTACACAGGTAAAAAAGTGGAGAACTGGTGATTTGATGGGACTCAGGCCTCGGACCCCCTGCCCAGCCCTGGGCCAGCCCTGCCCTGCAGAGGGGAGAGGGGCAGGGGCTGTACCTGCAGTTCCTCGGGATTTAGGGACAGGAAGGTGTCCATATCCATGTCTATGGCCATGCCAGCATTGGCCAAGGCTTTCAGGTCCTCTGCTGGAGCTCCACCTTAAAGAGAGGTGGTACCTGGACGTGTACAAACCATCCCAACTCCTCTGGGGAGCCTTTGGAGGCTGCCAGACCTGTCCTAGCATGGCCAAACCTCCCTGGATGAGGAAGAGACAGTGAGCCTCGTGGTGGGAGGGAGGGGGAAGGAGGAAGCACCTACCCAGGTATGGCCGGAGCCGGCAGTAATACACACTGGGGGTGTCGGCCAGGCCAGCAAAGGCCTCCCGAGCCTTCCTGTAGAGCAGCTCCTTCTTGGCTTGGGAGCAGGCAGAAATGTCTAACTGCCCAGCAGTCCTGGAAGGGAGGGTCACAGCTCAGAGAAGGGCAGCACCCCAACCCACAGCCCAAGGGTTCTGTTGGCCGGGGGAGCTGTGTGGGGAGTCCCCCCTCACGGTGCCGGGGCTCCAGCAGGAGCCGGGAGTGGGAGCAGCGATCCCACCCTGCTGCCTGGGAGTGGGCAGAGCTCAAACAGAGCTGGGGGGCTTCCGTCCCAGCACCCCCTTCCCCACAGTCCCAGGACCCTCGCAGGACTGCCCAGTGCCCCTCAGAAGAGCCTCACCCGATTGCTTGGGCGGGGATTTGCTCCATCTGCTCCTCCCGCAGGTTGCACAGGCGTCTGCCCCCGATGGCCTGGAGCAGGGGCCCGGTCAAGGTGCCCCCCAGGGTCAGGTACCTGCTGAGCAGCTGCTGCACCTGCGGAGCACAGGGCACGTGGTGGGACACAGGGCGGGCAGGAAGATGCTCCTGTTAAAGGTGTGCTGCCAAACACACCTTTGCCTCAAGGTGGGCTGGGGCATGGGCTGGGCCAGTTTGGGTTCCCCAGCACTCATCTCCTGCTGCCACCATGGATTTACCTGGGAATCATCCCAGTGCCCTCCCGAGGGGTCAAGCAGGGCTGCCAGTGTGTCATTGGATGTCACTGACCACTGACTGATCTCCTCCTCCGAGTACAGGCGGGCCAGCAGTCCCAGGCGCCTCAGCAGCTCCTCCGGGATCCCCGACGGGTAAGCCTGTGGGGCCAGGCCAGGGGGCAGAAACCAGGGTGAGGGAAGGGAAAATAGGGCAGGAATGGGTGCAGAGGACTCGCTCGGGCACCTTCATCCCCACATCTGTTGATGCCCTTCATCCCCACATCCATTGATGCCCGTTCCCACAGCAGGTCCTGCCCATCCTGGACCGTGCCCATCCTGCTGAGGGGCTGCCCTATGTCACCCCTTACCTGGTCCACCTTTTCTTTCATGACCTCGTAGTAGTCCACAGTGAACGGCATGTCCAGCAGAGCCTCCAGGTTTTCCATTAAGACATCGTTGCTCAGGCACAGGTTGAACTCCTCAGGGGTGTAATCCAGGAATAACAGGGGGTTTGTGGTGATGGTGGTGGTGGTGATGGGCTCGGAGGGGCAGCCTGTGGGTGAGGAGTTGTGTCAGGCAGATGGTGTGTCCCCTTCCCACCTGGCCCTGGTCCTGCCACGGGGCTCAGAGCCCCTTGGAAGAGCCCTGGTGAATGAACGGGGAATCGCAGTAACGTAGCTTGAGCCACTGTGGATCCTCCTCCCATCCCCACCCCATAAAGCCTAATTTGCTTCCATTCCTTAAAGTTATTCCTGAAGAACACAGGGGTGTTTTTGCAGCCCACTTGCACTTTGTCCCATTAAAGGCAACTAAAAACTCTCCAGGTCATCTCTATGAGCATTCTCTGATCTTGCAGCGTCCTCCACTTGGTGCTGACCCTGCCTGGGGAATATCCCACCCTGTCCCACTGCTTCCCAGCTGCTGCTGCCATACTCCTGCTCCCAGTGTTCTGTAAGGTCCTTTCCCCACCTCCCCAGTTACTTTATGAGAATCCCACAGCTTTCTGCCTGGTCCTGTGCCTCCCCACTCCTGGCAGCACCCAGATGCCCACCAGCACAGGGGCATTTTTCCCCTGCCCAAGAGCTCTGAACTGGTCTGGACTGGGCAACACTCACGGTCTGTGCTCCGCTTCAACCTGGGATGTGATGAAGCTGCTCGGGGCAGGCTCCTGCTCCACCTGTCAGCCCCATAAAGGAAAGGGAATTCTTGGTGTGTTTGTACTCCAGGAGGAGCCAAAGCAACCGGAATCCCTGCCCGGGCACAGGCACAGAACCGGCTGTGCGAGGCTGTAAATCCTCCCCAGCCCAGGGACCCGTCACAGCAGCCGGGTGTGGATGTGGGGAGCAATCAAACACACACCGGCCCCACTGCCCAGACCCCCAAAACCCAGAGCCCTGGCTGGGGCTGTACTTACCCAGGGTGCTGCTCTGCAGTGGACAGGACAGCTCCAATGACCAGGGCAGCCTGGGGACAGGATGAGGGATGCTCAGCCCAGGCAAGGAGTGGGAATAAGGGATTTTAGATGCAGGGAATGGGATCTGACCTGGCTGAAGGCTGCCCTGGTGACATGTGGGGACAAAAGCCACCACAGCCACTCTCAGGAGTGGGGACCCTTCAGTGGGTCTGTCCCTGTTTCCCCAGAGCCAGCAGAGCTGGGAGCCCACCAGGGTGCCAGCCCTTGGTTTGGGAGCAGGGCAGGGAAGCTGCTGGGCAGTGGGTGAGTGAGGGGTGGGATGGGACAGGGACAGGCCATGGGCTGCCTAGGGCGACAGCAGACAGGTGACAGCTGTGCCTCCCTGCAGCTGAGGGATGGAGGAACCACGGCAGCTCCGGCACCTCCAGCACCAGCTGAGAAGTTTGGGAAAGCCCTGGAGCGCTGGGAGTCAGCGGAGCCGGGGGAGACTCACCACTGCAGCTTTCACCAGGTTTGTGGAGACACCTGCAAGGAAGCAGGAGCAGGTTAGGAAACATCCATGGATGTATGTACAGGTGGTCAGGGGATGTTCCACAGCTGGTCCAGGTTTAAAGTCTGGGAAGAGCCTTTTCTTTGGCAATTTAATGATGTTCACTTAAACCTCTATGCAGAGAGCAGCCCCCAGCCCAGGCACCCCGGGGTCCCTCTGGGTGGCTTTGGAAGGCAAAAAGGGAGAAATCTGTCCCTGGAAATCTGTCTCTGTCCTTGGGAAAAATCTCCCACTGCCTGTGGATGCTGAGGGGAGCAGGAGGCAGGGAGTGCCAAAGCCGAGCAGGATGGGGATGAGGAGCAGCACACGCTGCAGCATCCCTGGCACTGGGGGTGGATGGGGGTCCCAAAGCAGCTTTAGGGACACGAGGCGTCACTCACGGAGACAGAGGGCGATGGCAGCCGGGGCTGGGGCTGCCCACACCATGGTGCTGGTGCTGGGGCTCCGCCCTCGGCGCGGGTCCGGAGGGTCGTGTCCGACACTCGGGGTTGTTGGAAGGTGCTGGGGGTCCTGCAGCCAATTCTCACCCAGCAATGGGGCTGGAGCCGTGTCCCACACTCAGGGCCAGTGCCTAGGGATGGTACTGGGAATCCTGCAGCTGATTCTCTCACCCCACACGAGGCTGGAGCCGTGTCCCACCCCTGGAGTTCTTCTCTCTGCAGCCGATTCTCTCACCCAGTGCTCAGGTTGGAGCTGTGGGATCAGGGTGGGTCAGTGTGCCCACCCGTGCCCTGTGCTGCCTGCACAGACCCCCCACAGCCAAGGGAGAGATTTAAAATCCTATATAACGGAAAACAGGATTTAATTCTCCACCCATCATTAAAAGAAACTCCACAATAACTTGTCCCCCCTGACACCCAGTGCCCTGCTCCTGCCTGTGCCCTGCAGGGACGGGGTCCCCCTCCATCCCCCGTATCCACATGGGACTGGGAGAAACCCAGTGTAGCCCAGGGGAGGAGCCCCAGCAGGTGTTTCCCTCCCACTGTTCCCCACTCCACACCTCTCACCTGGAACGTCCCAGATGGAAAATCCATCCCTGCTCCCAAAATCCCCCCGCTGAGCCCAGTGCTGCCCACAGTTCGAACTCAACGCAAGTTCAAAGCAAGGAATTTTCCCCTTGAGGCTCATTTTGTTCCCCAAATCCCACCGTGGCCGTGCCGAGCCGTTCTCCTCCTCTCCCTCCGGGGGGATCTGGCTCCGTGGCGAGGTCTCAGCCGGGCAGGTCCTCTCCCCGCGCGGGGCCGGGGATGGGCAGCGCCGGCAGCGCTCGGCACTTATCTGTGCGGGGTGGGGATGTTGCTCCCGACAGGGGTGTGACGGGGCAGTTTCTCAACAGTGTTTTGTCAGGCTCCTTCCCTTCTCCCCAGTTCTGGTTTTGTTTCCTTTTTTTTTTTTTTTTTTTTTTTTCCCCTGTAAAGGAAACTTTGAATTTCTGGTTCAGCTGAAGCCAAAATGAATCCAGAGGGAGATAAATCCTCCGGGCTGGTGATTTCTGTGCTCCTGAGGGAGATAAAGGTGCTCCCAGGGAGTGGGAAACCTTTTGAGCTGTTCAGGGGTTTATTTTACAGGGCAACTGAGGTGCAGAACAGACGAGTGCTCAGTGATGGGCTCAGCACCCTCTGGGAGCTGCTTCCCTCCCGTCCATCCCTTTTCCATTAACCATGGACAATCCCATTCCCTCTTTTACAGCTTTCTCCCTGATCATGCTCCGAAATGCCATCCAGCATGTGCCATGAAGGAGACCAAAAAGAAAGGAAACAAATCCTTGCTGAGGCTGTGGGATGACAGCCTGGAGGAGCCTGATGCCATGAGCACAAACGTTACCTGAGTGTTTATCCCGGGAAAAGGGAAGGGCCAGAGCAGCTGGAGTGGGTGGCTGGGCTGGCAGCAAGGCTGCACCCCCTTCTCAGAGAGATTTGTGGGTACCAGACTTCTCCGAGGGTCCCTGGAGCTGCTGGCACAGTGCCAAGGGGGGTTGTCACCTCTCCCAGTGCTCCCAGTTGTGTCCTGTCACCAGCCCCGTCCCCCAACCGGTCCTGCAGCCCCGGGGCTCGGCCGCCGCCCGCGGGTGTTGCTGGTTTCTATTTTGGAAGGATTTACTGTAAAAATAGCTCCTGTTGCAGTGGTAAAATTACAGAAACTTGTTTGCTATGAGGATGCTGGTGGGACACGGCCCCTGCCCCGGGCTGGCTGGGCAGGGGTGGCTGGGGCAGGAGGGCAGGGACACACTGGAGCTCCTTTGCAGGTCACCAAGTCCACTGTGTCCCCACAGAGCTTAAAACTGACCCTGAAACACCCTCAGCAGCTGACACAGGAGGGTCCACCCCGAACTTGAACGTGCCAAGAACATCTACCCAAGTCCCTTCCTTGGGACCTCAGCAGGCTGTTTGTAGGCTCTGACTGCAGGATGAGTGAGGAGCAGCGACACAGTCCCAGAATGGTTTGTGTTGGAAGGCACCTTAAGCGCATCCAGTCCCATCCCCTCCCATGGGCAGGGACACCTTCCACTGGCCCAGGTTGCTCCAAGCCCCATCCAACCTGGCCTTGGACACTTCCAGGGATGGGGCAGCCACAGCTTCTCTGGGCAACCTGTGCTAGGGCCTAACCACCCTCACAGGGAAGAATTCCTTCCCAGTATCCCATCTAACCCTGCCCTCTGGCATTGGGAAGCCATTCCCCCTCACTTTGTCCCTCCATCCCTTGTCCCAGGTCTCTCTCCAGCTCTCCTGGAGCCCCTTCAGGCACTGAAAGGGGTTCTCAGGTCTCCCTGGAGCCTTCTCTTCTCCAGGTGAACAGCTCCAGCTCTCCCAGCCTGGCTCCAGAGCAGAGGGGCTCCAGCCCTGGGAGCATCCAATCATCAGGAGTGACAGCAGCTTTCCCTGTGCACCCCGTAAACCCTGTCAGCCCCAGGGCTGCTCCCCACCTCCTTGCCAGGGAAAGACACAATGTTCCCAAATTAAGAGCTTTTCTCATCTGCCTGGGACAATCCCAGCTGGCAGGGACGGGCAGGGGACAGGATGTGGCACCGACATCTGCCCCAGCTGCCTCCACCATCCTCAGTCACCTCTGTTCCTAAACCCGGGAGGGCTCTGGGGTCGCTCATCCCGGTGGTTTTGGCCGGGAATTCCAGCAGGGGGAGGATGGACCCCGCGGTGCGGTGCTCACACAGCAGGTTGGCCGGGCTGGAGCCCCGGGGCCGGTCCCGTCGGGCCGGTCCGGGCTCATTCCTGGAAGCCCCCGGAGCCGCGTTGGATTGAGAGACAGGGGGCGAAGGGCAGAGACACGTTTAATACAGTGAGAGGCAACAACACGGGTACTGCCAAGTGCACAGAACATCACAACACACACCCCAGCACCGGGGGATTCGCAGCCAACGCCCCGTGGCAGTGCCGGCAGAGAGGAGGGAGCAGGACGGGATGCCGGGAAGGGCACCTGGAAAACACTCTCTGCAGGGTAAGGAAAACACCTATTTATCTCTGGTCTCTGTGGTGTTGGGTATAAGTGCAGCACACGAAGGATGATGGGTGCTGGGGAGGGGGCTCCTCCACACAGCCCCCAGCAGGGATGGTCCATCAGCGTCCCCACATCCCACCCCAGTGATCCACCCCATCCCGGATGTTCCCAGTGGGAAGGGCAGGCTGTGTCCCACCTGTGACATGTAAATCTCCCCTGGCACTTTTCAGCACCTCCCGTGCACGTCACCCCCCTTCATTCTTTGGCAAACAGGTTCATGAGGGTAATTTACAGCTCTGGGACCTGCCCGCGGCTGCCTCTCCCTTCCCGGCCACTCCTGGGACATGGGATGGGCAGGGAGGGGGCTTGGGAGGAAGGAGATGGGTCTCCTGCTCCTCCAACCCACCCTGAGCCCAGGGCTGGCACCTCAGAGCCATCCCCACCAAGCCACAAAAGCACAGTGAACTTGCACCCAGGGACACAAGGGGTGGGTGATGCAATTCCCCCCGGGATTTCGGTGACCTGCAGGGTATGTTCACCCACAGGGAGAGAGCTGTGACATTTTATTCTCCCTCAGGGTGGGAATGTCAGTTGTGTGAAACCCCTGTCAGGTGCAATTTCCATGGGATGGGGCTGGTGGGGTGACAACAACTCTGGGCACACACTGATGTGCCGACGCCCCTGGGATGGGGATGTGTGTGCAGTGGGCTCCAGCCCCTCTGTCCCTCCCCAGCTGTCCTGTTCTCCTCATTTCCAAATGTCCTCCAAGGGCTGGAGAGGACGAGCAGGGTGGGAAAGAGAAAGCAAAGCAGGATGACCAGCAAAGCAAGGGCACTTCCAGAGAAACTCTTCTTGGAATCTTGCAAAGCTGAGTGCCAGCAGAGCTGAGCCACCACATCAGTCTTTCTTCAGCTTCATCCATTTCCTACTGCTCCAGAGCCTTCCCAAACTGTCCACCCAAAGGACCTTCCTCTGGCACCCTCTGGAAACCTGCCAGCCAGGAGCCACACCATGGGATCAAGCCAGGACTCGTCCAGGTGAGCAGCAAGGGGCTCGTGTCCTCTGACCTGTCTCAGCAGGGGTTACACTCACACCCAGGATAAAAGCAGGAAAGGCAATGCCAAGTAGAAGGAATAATAAAATCCATTAAAAAAGCTTTGGGCTGCTGGCTCTCCGACCACAGAAATACTAAAAATACCTCATTTCTGAGACCACCCGTATTTTACAACCCCTAAAAGACTAGATTTTTCCCCTAGAAAATTGAAAAAGGTTTAAAATCCGTTTGTATCAACCCTCTCACCTTCACCAAACCTTTAAAAACCCCAAGGGAGGGCTGAGGGAGGGGAGTGCGGGGCAGGGATGGGCAGCACTTTGGTGCCAGGCAGGGACCTCTCCTGTGCCCATCCCAGCACATCTCTGTGGGCCAAACACCTGGAGCACCCCAAAACTGGGGGGCTGTTGGTGCCTCCAGCCTCTGCTCCAGCCCCCCCAATGTCCCACCTCCCACACATGTGCCAGTGAGTGCAGCAGCTGGAGTGAAGGGAATGGGAACGGGGGACACGGACACCGAAGCTGCTCGTGGCATGTCCTCCTCTCCCTGTGCTGGGCTGCACTTCAAGCACGAAGGGTTTGTGGGAATGTCATGGCAAAGGCAGTGTCTGTGCTGCCCTGGCTGGGCCCGAGCCCCAGGACAGGGATGGGAAGCTTTGGGGTCACTCTAAGCTGGTGTGTGACACTGACTCTGCTGCTGAGGCCTGGAATTGGGGAAGGGGCATCCCGTGGCCAGCTGGATGATGGACATTAAAAAGCAAACCCACCCTAACCGCTGATCAATGTGCCTAATCCAGCCCCGTGAGCGAGGGAAGCCTTGGCATACAGGAGGTGCAGGCGTGGAGTCAGCGCTGGGCTCCGAGGGGACCCACTGGGACAACGATGGAGCTGGAAACGCAGGGACGTGGCTCGTGCTCACTCCAGAGCCCACTCTGCCAACCACTGCTGGCACCGCGCCCGCTGCTCCTCCGGCTCCGCGCTCCCGGCTTCGCTCCGGGGCTGCTCCTCCTCCGCACCACCACCCACGGCCTCCTGGCCCTGCTGCTCCTGCTCCTCCTGCGTCACCTTGTCCTTGAGCTCCTGGATGGTGTCCTCCAGCCGGCGGGTGACGCGCTGGGGCTCCCAGTTGCCGTCCATGGCGGGGACGAAGGGGTCGGGCGCGCACACCTCGATGAGCTCCCCGCGCGCGGGGATGCGCAGGTAGTAGGCGTGGAGCATCATCCTGTAGGGGCTGCTGTCCTGGCCCAGGCTGTACGTGAAGTCCCCCACGATGGGGTGACCGACAGCACTGCAGTGAACCCGCAGCTGGTGAGTCCGCCCTGGGGAGAGCAGGAGTGGAGGGATCACGGACAGGTTATCCCTGAATCCCTCCTTCAGCGCGCGAGGTGACAACGCACCAGGTAACATTTGTCCCCCCTGAGCCCGGCAGTTCTCGGCTTCTCTCATCCCCTTTCCCGGCTCTGCTTCCACGTCAGAGCCCCCCGGAGCTGCTGCCCTGACCCCAACCCCCACCTGTCAGGGGCTGCAGCAGCACTTTGGTCACGGGGTCTCCACTGTAGGATCCGTGCTCCAGCACGATCAGCTCCGACTGGCAAGGCTTGGGATTTTCACAGCCTGCAACGAGATCCAAAGGGGGTTTGTCATCCCCCAGCGAGGCTCAAGGCGTCTGGGCAGTGCAGGGAAGGGGGGCTCACCCTCTGTCCCGTCGATGCACATCATGTGGGTCCTGCCCTCCGTGGTGTTCTTCCCGATGGCATAGCGGATCGTCATCCGGCTCTGGTTGACGTGGCCCCTCACCTGGGGGCAGAAAGGGGGTTTGAAACTGAGCCATGGCACGTGCTCCTCACCAACCCCTCAGTGCCAGGAATCGTGGAATCACAGAACGGGAAAGGTTGGGAGAGTCCACAGTGGGGACGCCCAGTCCAACCTCCCTGCTCCAGCAGGGTTTTCCTAGAGCATGTGGCACAGAATTGTGTCCAGATGGATGCAAGAAGCAGACCAAGCTGCAATTCATAGAATCACAGAGTCCTGGAATGGTTTGGGTTGGAAGGGACCTTAAAGCCCACCCAGTTCCAGTTCCAACCCATCTTCCACTAGACCAGGTTGCTCCAAGCCCTATCCAACCTGGCCTTGGACAATTCCAGGGGCAGCTGCAACCTGTGCCAGAACCTCACCACCCTCACGGGGGAAATTCCTTCCCAATATCCCATCTAACCCTGCCCTCTGTCAGTGGGAAGCCATTCCCCCTTGTTCTGTTCCTCCATCCCTTGTCCCAAGTCCCTCTCCAGCTCTCCTGGAGTCCCTTTTAGGCACTGGAAGGGGCTCTCAGGTCTCCTTGGAGCACTCCCTTCTCCAGGCTGAACCCCAGCTCCCTCAGCCTCCCAGCAGAGGTGCTCAGCCTGCCCAGAAGGGCAGCCCCGAGCAGGCCCTGGCAGGGTGGGCTCACCAGGGCGAGGTAGGCTTTGGTCACCAGCCGCTCCTTGAAACACTTGTAGGCGCTTCCCGCCGCCGCCTTGTTGAGAGCGACACACAGGGCCCCGCTGGTGGAGAAATCCAGCTGGTGGCAGAACCTGGGGAGGAGACAGGGGTGCAGGAACATCCTGGGGAACTTGTGGGTGCCCCCAGCCGAGGGCACAGCCCGGGTGGGTGCCTGGCCACTCACCTGAAGCCGTAGTAGGTGTCGGGGTCGGCGAGCTCGGGGAAGCGGTGCCGGAGCTGGCTCTGCAGGGTCAGCGTCTCGTACCACATCTTGCTGTCGATGCGGATGTCCCAGTGCTTGTTGACCACGATGAAGTCGGAGCTCTGGTACAGGATGGACAGGTTGTCGATGGTGCCCGGCTCCATGGCCAGCGCCCTGCGGGAGGAGCCCATGGGAATTGGGGTGAGAGGGGTGGGGGGAGCCTCCAGCTGCAAGGTGGGTGTCACAGGGGTGGGACAGCACCCTGGGCAGTGATGGGACCCAGGCAGGGCAGGCTGGGAATAGAGCAGGGAGTGGGGCACCTCATAGGACTGGAGAGGTACTGGTGCTGTGTGGTACCAGAGTCACCCTGCACAGGACCAGAGCAACACCAATGTCACTCTGCTCGGCCCAGTGACACCAGTGTCACCCAGCATGGGTCTCTCAGCCTCACCAGTGTCACGCTGTGTGACTCCCAGAGCAACACCGCTGTCACCCTGCTCGGCCCAGAGGGACACCAGTGTCACCCTGCGTGTCCTGGTGTCACACTGATGTCACCCTGCATGTCTCGCAGCCTCACCGGTGTCACACCGGTGTCACCCTCCATGCGTCCCGCAGCCCCCCCGGTGTCACCCCGTGCTGGCGCGGGTCCCGCAGCGGTCCCGGTGACACAGCCCCCGCCGTGGCGGTCCCGCAGCCGCGCCGCTGTCACACCGCACAGCTCTGCCGCCGTCCCCGCGTCCCGGGACGAGCCCATCCCCGTCCCGGTGTCACGCGTGGCCTCCCCGCGCTCCCCGCTGGAGCGGAGCCGCGATCCCGGCGGCTCCGGTTGGGTGCACGGGGCGCTGGGGAGGGGACACGGGACGCGACGGCGGGGACACGGCGGAAGGGACACAGACACTGGGGAGGGGACCCGGAAGAGGGGACTCGCGCCGCTCTGAGACCTCAGCCCCGCTCCCGCTCCCGCCCCCGCCCCACCTGCGGCGCCGTCCCGGGCGCTCCCGGGGCGGCCGCGGCTACATCGCCTCCATCGGCCCGGGCCGCGCGCCGCGTCCAATCAGCACCGCCCTCGCCGGCCCGGGCCGAACGTCGCGTCCAATCAGCGCCGCCCCCGCCGGCCCGGGCCGAGCGTCGCGTCCAATCAGCGGCGCGGACGCCCCCGCCCGGCGCGGCCGTGGCCAATGAGCGGCAGCGGCGCGGGGCGGTGCGAAGCGGGGCGGGGCGTGCGCGGCCCATGGCGGGCGCCGAGAGCGCCGAGGGCGCTGCCGACGATGAGTTCTACGAGCGCTTCGCCGCCGACGATGAGTTCTACGAGCGCTTCGCCGCCGAGCTGGAGGTGCTGGCAGAGCTCGGAGGTGGGCGCTGCTGCCGGGCCGGGACCGCTACCGGGGGAGCGGGGGCGGTGGGAGGGCAGGGCCGCCCGTGGCCGCTCACCGGAGCTCTGACCCCTATTGCAGATGACCCGTCCCCGCCCGCCGGCCCCAAAGTCTCGCAGTTCCGGGGCAGGAAACAGCCGCCGGAGGAGCCCGACCCCGCCGGGGACTCCCACTGCAGGAAGAGGGAGCGGGGCTGTGCCCCCGCCGGGTCCCCAGCACCGGCCGGACCCCGCAGTAGGTTTGACTCGGTCCCCGGCGCTGCCGGGCCCTGTCCCCCCTCCCCGAGCGGTGCCGGGCGCGGAGCATCCCCGGTACCGCCCTCCCTCAATCATGGTGCTCCTCTTCCCCCCTCCCCGGCTTCTCTCCCAGCCCCGAAGCCGAAGCGGCAGCGCCTGGAGGCTGTGAAGAAGCTCGATTTTGGTGCAGACGATGAGTTGGCTCCTGATGTCTCCTGGGATGGGGGCTCAGAGGCACCTCTTGCTCCCCAGAATACCAGGTTGGCCACCTTGAAAGCCATTTTTAGCAGGGATGAGGGAAAGGCCCCTTGGCCCCCCCCTTCAGGGGGTTCAAGGGCCCTTTTCCTCACCCCTGCTAAAGGAATTTGGTGTTTTCCAGCTCGAACCAGCTGGAGATGAGCGGCATGATCCCCCTGCAGATCACACCACCCTCTGAAAAGAAGTGGGTCCTCAAGAGACCCCCCATCCTGGAGGATTATATCAATGTGACCTCCACCCAGGGCACCAGGGTCTTCCTGGTGCTGAGGGATGATCCCTGCAGGACAGGGGTGGAGGTGAGGAGGGCTCTCGAGGTTGGGTTTGCTTCTCTGTGTTCTCCAGCTGGTTCAGGAGGGGGTTGTTTGTGCTGTGTCCCTGCAGCTCCCGGATTCCCTGGGCTGGAATGCACGGAGGCCACTCCACCTGCTGGGGGTGCCTTTCTCCTACCTGAAGGAACAGGTGGACCAAGAGGTACCACGTCTCACACTGACCTTCCCATCTTTCCCTGCCATTCCTGATACCACAGGACTGTCTCCCATCCCTGTTCCCCCCAGCCATGGGTTACTGGGGTGTCCCTGACCCTGCTCTCCCTCTCTCTGTGCTCCAGCGTCTCAGGCATGTTCAGAAGGTATCCCAGCAGCTGACAGAGATCATAAACAGGTGAGATGTTGGGATGAAATCCCATCCTATCCCTGCCATGCTGCCTGATGTGCCTCCCAAGACCCTCCACGAGGTCCAGATTTTTGGGACCTACGAGCAGAGGAACCTCTTTGCCCTTGTTGTGCTCAGCGTGGGAAATCTGGGTGTAACTCCCAGCCCTTCCCTGACTCCCTGGGTGGTTTGGGGCAAGTTAATTCTTTCTTACAGTTGCCTTGAGAGTGAGCCCAGCACAGAGAGCCTGGAACCTGGTGGGGACATGGATCCTGAGGAGGAATCTGCCTCCCATTGCCTCTGGGTGGACAAGTTCACCCCCCGGCGCTACATGGAGCTGCTCAGTGATGATGTGAGGTGCTGGGAGAAGGGGAGGCCTGGGCTTGGGGGTTATTAGCACCTCTGTAACTCTTCCTTTATGCTGTGGGATCAGGGTGTTGCCTTTGGAAGTGCTGGTCCTTCCTGGGAGCAGTCGTGAGTCCTGGAGAGCTTGGGATGGCAGTGTTTCAGCTGGAGTCTGTGGGCTTTCTAACAAAAGGGATTGGGAAACTTGACCAGAACAAGACAAAAAAGACTGGGAGAACTTTAACCAGGAATTGTGGCCTAGTTTGGGGGTTTTTTTTGGAATATCAGAAGTTTTGTAGGGAGTTGCAAATGATGGAAGAGGCTGAGAAGTGCTGAGTTGAGCCAGGACGGAGGAGGGACAGCAGGGATGGGGCTGATGTGACTTGTCCTGGGTTCCCCTGTGGGGTGGTGGTTGAGCTGGGAAGGGAAGCACCGTTCCCGTGCTGTCCCAGGAGATGCCAGGTGGAACCCCGAGCAGCCTGTCCCATGGAGGAGAGCCTTCCTCTGTCCTTGGCCTGATCCTTCTGAGGTTCCATGGATTTTTCCCACTTCCCCCCCACCTGCAGTACACAAACCGCTGCCTTCTGAAGTGGCTCAAGCTCTGGGACACGGTGGTGTTTGGGAAGGAGAAGGCTGTGAAGAAGGGCAAGCCCAGCACTGCAGCTCATCCCCCATTCAGCCATCCCAAGGAGCACCCAAATAAGTGGAAAACGAAGGTCCAGCTCACAGAGGAGATTCTGGAGGCTGAGCTGGACCAGCACAAGAGACCCAAATACAAGGTGAGCAGGACAAGGCAGTACTGGGGTGTCCCCTCATCCTGCCAGCAGGGTGAGGAGCAGGGCATTCCCTCCTTGGTGGGAGCTGGAGGAAGCCCTTGCCATGCTGACCTGCCCTCTGTGCCACAGGTAGCCCTGCTCTGTGGCCCTCCTGGCTTGGGAAAGACCACGCTGGCCCACGTCATCGCCCGGCACGCGGGGTACAACGCCGTGGAGATGAATGCCAGGTGAGGCCCTGCCAGCCCAGCACTGCTGCAGGTGCTGCCAGGCCAGAGGGGACGCTGGGGGTGACACTGTCCTGGGGATGACCATGTCCCAGGGGTGACAGCGTCCTGGGGGTGACCATGTCCCAGGGGTGACAGTGTCCTGGAGGTGGTGCTGGAGGTGATACTGTCCCAAAAGCGATGGTGTCCCAGCAGTGATGCTGGAGGTGGTGCTGTCCTGGGGGTGATGCTGGAGGTGATGGTGTCCCAAAAGCGATGGTGTCCCAGGGGTGATGCTGTCCTGGGGGTGATGCTGGAGACGATCCCGTGCTGGAGGTGATCCCATGCCAGAGCCAACCCCATGCCACAGTAACCTGGCACACCTTCCCTGCAGCGATGACCGCAGCCCCGAGGTGTTCAAGACCCGCATCGAAGCTGCCACGCAGATGAAGTCTGTGCTGGGGGCTGGCGAGAAGCCCAACTGCCTCATCATCGACGAGATCGACGGCGCGCCCGCGGTGAGCCCCGGCCACCTTTGGCATTAACCCCTTCATTGTTCCCCCATTAGCAGCTCACCCCCTGTTCCACGAGCTGTTTCTTGCCTCTCAGTGGTAAGATTTCATCCCTTCTGCCCTTGTTTTTTTTTTCCCAAGGCATCTATCAACATGCTGCTGAACATCATCCACCGTAAGGACGTGCAGGGAGAGGGAGAGGCCGGCGTGGGCCGGAGGCGGCAGCGTGAGGGTGGGTTGTTGCTCAGGCCCATCATCTGCATCTGCAATGACCAGTGAGTGTCACCTGTGGGTCTGAGGGGATGGAGAGCTGAGACTGTGCCCTGAGTGAGGAGGTGGTGGCTGTTGGTGTCTCCCTTTGAGTGGAGCACCTCAAATCCTGGGGGCAGTTTTGGGCTCCTCGTGACAAGAAAGACTTTGAGGGACTGGAGCATGTCCAGGAAAGAGAATGTAGCTGGGGAAGGTTCTGGAGCACCAGGAGTGGCTGAGGAAGCTGGGGGGGCTCAACCTGGAGAAAAGGAGGCTCAGGAGGGACCTTCTGGCTCTGCAACCCCCTGACAGGAGGGGAGAGCTGGGGGGGGTCAGGCTCTGTTCCCAGGGAACAAGGGACAGGACAAGAGGAAACAATCTCAAGCTGTGCCAGGGGAGGTTTAGGTTGGATATGAGGGAGAGTTCCTTCCCAGAAAAGACTGTCCAGCCCTGGCACAGCTGCCCAGGGCAGGGGTGGAGTCCCCAACCCTGGAGAGATTTAAAAGCCCTGTGGATGTGGCACCTGGGGACGTGGGTTAGTGGTGGCCTTGGCAGTGCTGGGGAACGGTGGGACTGGATGGTCTTAGAGGGCTTTTCCAGCCTGAATGATTCCATGACTAGTAGGTGTCCTCCTTGCCCTGCTGTGGCCACTCAGAGCCCTGTGCCCCTCCCCAGGTACGTGCCCGCGCTGCGCCCGCTCCGGCAGCAATCCTTCCTGCTCCACTTCCCCCGCACGGCTCCGTCCCGACTCGCCCAGCGGCTCAGCGAGGTGTGGCACAGCTGAGGGCCCCCCTGACCCCCTGGCTGGCCATCCCTCCCTGCTGACCCCCCTCTCCTGCTCCCACAGATCGCCCTCCAGCAGGGAATGCGGGCGGACACGGGGGCACTGCTGGCCCTGTGCGAGAAGACGGAGAATGACATCCGCTCCTGCATCAACACCCTGCAGGTACCGGGGTCATGGGGGGCCTGGGGGACACAGACAGCTCTGGACTCAGATGGGGATGGAGGAGAAAGAACTCTGTCCTTGGCAGATCCCGAAAATATCCACCCTGTCCCCTGTGCTATTTTAACCCTGCACATGGAGGAGGAAGGAGACGCTGCTGTGTCCAGGATCCCCAGAGTTGTGGGGATCCCCCCTCCCTCTGTGCCCGTCCCCCCAGCTCCTCTCTCCCATTGCAGTTCCTGCACGGCCGAGGGCAGAAGGAGCTGAACATGCAGATGGTGCAGACGATGAAGATTGGCCTGAAGGACCAAAACAAGGGGCTCTTCTCCATCTGGCAGGAGATCTTCCAGCTCCCGAGGGTGCAGAGGTAAAAGGAGGGATTTGTTAGGTCTGACTGGGTGCTTGGGGTGTGCTGCTTCTTGGCATTTTGGTTGCCCAGAGAAACTGTGGCTGCTCCAACCTTGGAAGTGTTCAAAGCCAGGTTGGATGGGGCTTGGAGCAACGTTCTGTGAT